ATTTTTTAATTTAGTTTGTTGATATTAAATTTTTTTTCTATTTAGTTATTAGACTTTCATGATATGGATCTCAGGTTTGACGAGTTAACCCAATTAATTTAGATTTTTTTTTATTTTTCTTCATTAGTTTTTTTCTTCTTATAAGTTTTTTTTTTATTGTTTCTTTTTATTTAATATTTTTTTATTTAATTTAGTTCATCAATATTAAATTTTTTTCTATTTAGTTATTGATTGATGCCTTTAGTTTTTTTTTATTATTTTTTTGCTTTTTTTATGCCTTTAACTGTGGACTGCACACTGAGTCCATGGTGAAAAAGTTGATGTCTTTTTGTTTTTTTTCTTTTTAATTAATTTTTTTATTTAATTTAGTTTGTTAATGTTCAATTTTTTTTTTCTATTTTGTTATCAAATTTTCATGACGCGGATCATGAGTTTGACTAGTTAGCCCAGTTAATTTTGTGTTAACCTGTCAAATTTTTTTTTCTATTTAGTTATCAAGCTTTCATGACATGAATTCAAGGTTTGACGGGTTAACCTGGTTTGAAGGGTTAATCCAGTTAATTCAGATTTTTTTTTCTTTTTCTTCATTAATTTTTTTCTTCATTTTGGTTTTTTTAATTAATCTATTTAATTATCATACTTTTATGACATGACCTTACAGCCAGACCCACATCCAAGACTATTAGGTTTGGCATTACAGATAGTCAAACCCACTTAAACTTGGGTCATGCAAATTTAATATTATTATTAGTATTATAAATGTTACTTTTGGGTTAGTTATTAGTATTATAAATGTTACTTTTGGGTCAGGCGTTGCAGCCATACCCAAGGCTCTTGGGTATAGTTTTGCAAAACGACCTAATATTTTTAGATCTTAACTTTTTTTGATATTTTTTATGTAAATTTCATTGACCTGCGACACCGTACGGGTCATATAACTAGTTTTATGCTATTTTTAGTCATTGTTTCATGTCACAATGTTGGAAAATCTTTACAATGGTCAAGCTATAATAGCAATAATTATAGTAAAAAGATAAATATAAAAAAAGAAGAAAGAATTACATCTTCAAAAATTATCTTTTTTATTTTTTTGTTTTGTTTCTTTCTCCTATAGCATGTTATTAATTATAATTTAAGTATTATAAAATTTCTTGTATCAATTAAAATTAAACTATTATATTTAATAAAATAATGTAAAAAACCCATCAAATTCAAATATAACGATTTAGTGCCATCACTAATTATAATAACCTTGAATTAAAAATAAAGTTAATGGCATGACCCTTGGCTCTCTCCCGTCTCCCAGCCGTCCTGTAAATTTTGACTTTTTTTAACATTAGCATATTTAAAAAAATTAAGTAATTAGCGTAAGTGAAGAAAAATTAGAAAATAACACAATTGGTAAAACGTTGTCGTTTAGGGGAAAAAAATTGACTAATGTTAATACGCTGAAACTTTTTTTAATTATGCTGGAAAGGGTAAAAAAACCTGTAAATTTCTCATCTTCCAATATGTAACAATGGTGTGGTTGGCTGGTTGCGATCAAGGGGATATTGTAGCGAATTGTTGGACTATTTTTTTTTAAAAAAAATCATATATATTATTGTTTTAATCTCTTTCTTGTTTAGTAATAGGTTGAATAGAACTGCTAATAATTAGTTTTACACGAAAAGAAAAATTAATGCAACTACTAATAATTAACATTGTATGATAAAAGAAAATATATAGATATTAAAATTCCTATTTTAAGTTATAAATTTTAAGAGTATTTTAGTCTAAAAATATTTTATACATAGCTCGAGATTTTCTATATAGTTATACATACATACATACATACATACATACATATGGGGTCAAATGTTTCCTCATCCTCACAATAAATGCTTTCAAAGAAATATCAATCAGGATGGGCTTCTGGCTCACAAGTAGTTGAAAGGTGGCTCTAACTTTTTCAGCGAGATGAGTGGTATCTGTGAGGGTGATGCTGATAAATTTATTTCAAGTATTTAATTTTTTATTATTGCTAAATGCTAGTCAATGTACCTGGCCATCAAATAAATTTTGGTTTAATTTCATTTTCTCCTTGAATTTTATATAGGACCTATCAATTTCCTTTTGATAGGATATTTTGTTCGAGGTTTTTTTGTATTTTTCTTTCTTAGAATAAACTATATATCTCTATAAAAAAAATTATGGATTGGATATTGTGAAATTGGCACTGTATTTTTCCGCATTTGATGTTTTTATTGATTGAGATTTTTAATGTAAAAAAATTTAGTGAGTTTGTTTTTGAATTTTTTTTTATTGATTGGATTTTATTTTGATCACATTTTGATGCTTTCTTCTTAAGTGAATTTTCTTTCAAAACAAAATTAAATATATATTTTTAATAAATGATGCAAATCACGTGACTTCAAATTTTTAAATTATTTTTGCTTAAAATAAAATAGTTTTATGTTTTCAAATTGTTTTAATATATTGATATATAAAATATTTTTAAAAAAATAAAAATTATTTTAATATATTTTTAAATAAAAAATATTTTAAACGACATGATTATTATAATTCCAAATAAAAACTAAATTAATTTGTGAGGAAAGAAATGAAATCACGTTTCACAAGCTGAAATGAAATCGATAGATTTATTGGTTTTAATAATTGAACCTGTGCACTTTCTAATTGATGGAAAAAGTGGAAGCCAGCTGGCTTTTCCTAGCTTTAACGGGCTCTTTAAGGTAAATTATGACGTCTCAAGATTAGAGGTTAGATGTGTTTTTAGTCAACAAACTACCCAATTATATGTTCTTAGTGAGAAATGGACAAGTTCATAACCAGAAATTCTGTAATTTTCAATTATTAAAGTATTGACAACACTACTTAGTGCCAAAGGAATCCATTCTTATTCCATACCATAATGACGCGAAGGAGATCAATAGACATTAAAGGTTGAATTGTCGACATGTCAAGTCGGCATCTTATCTCTTGAAATCCCCCTTTTTTTCTGGGGGGGCAGCAGTCTAATGATTTCAACAAGGTAGCTTGTGCACTCGGTGATCAAGCAGTTCTCCTCCACGTCAAACGCACCCATGTTATGGGTTCCAATTCCTTTCGAGAGCTATGCCGATGAGTTATATCTATTGAACACATATGTTCTAAGTTAGATGATGATGATAATGAAAAAAAAGTATTAAACAATCCAAATAAAAAGAAGGAAGTTGGGGTTTTATTGGCACTCATACAATCAAAATAATCAAAAGGAATGAGTTTAACATGAAATAGAAAGAGACTATATATAGGTCAAAGAAAGAAAACTGAAAAGAAAATGTAAAAACTATTACATTTTTAAGAAACAATAAAACAAAATGATTTTATATTTCAACATGAAATAGAAAGAGACTATATATAGGCAAAAGAAAGAAACCTGAAAAGAAAATGTAAAAACTATTACATATTTAAGAAACAATAAAACAAAATGATCTTATATTTTTTAATATTTTCTCTCAAACTCATAATGCAATAATTACAAGTATCGATAGTTTGTCAACTAAAAAATAAAATATGACTTACTAAAGAAATCTACAAAGAAGAAGGAACAAAAAGCAAAGTAATTATGATGATGAAAAATAAGATAACAATCAATCTTAATGTACTTAATTTATTCATAAAAAATTGAGTTGTAAGCAATCTAAATAAAACTCTAACTGTCACAATATATAGAAATGAGACGAGAAAAAAAACTCTTATATCTACAAGTAACCAACATGGCCAAATAATCTCCCCTAGCATGTAGATCGAATTGTCGTTTTGCATGCATGATGACAATGGTGGAGAGGGATGCAGAAGGAGGAGAAGTGAAGAGCGGACTATCTACAATGGAAGGAGAGGCTGACTAGTTTGGCCGTTGACTGGTGGTGGAGGTGTGGGTAAAGACATTGGTGTTGGTTGTTGGAGGAGGGAGAAAACTAGGAAGGAGTAGGGGAAGTTCATGTGGAGAAGGTGCTGTTATTGTTGTTATTACCGCTATGGAGAAAGAAGGAGAAACAATTAGTGGAGAAGGAGAATTTTGGTGGTGTTGATGGAGGAATTCGTTGCTGGAATTAGCTATAGGAGGAAGGAGAAGCTTGCGATGGCTCCTTCTAAAGTGAGGTGGTCAACTAGTGGTTATGCTGGTGAGTTGTGGTGGTGGTCGAAAGTCATGATGAAGAGCGAAATAAAAGAGAAACAATGGTAGAAAAAACAGACTAAGGGGGAAAGCTGATTTTTTTGTCAACTTTGGCCTTTTTTTCTCCTTCCTCAAATCATAAAATCCACCCCTATCTATAAGTGATGAAAAAGAAATATTTTTTCTTTACTAATGTCAAATCTTGACATTTGATTCGACCTGAAAAGATCTCAATTATTGATTCAAAGTGGCTATTATTAGTTGTTAAATTGTTATATATAAGGGGTTGGTCGAGTTAGTCACTTTGAGGTGATATCATATTTGTTGTGGCAACAATCAGCTAAAACAGATCACACTAAAGTGTCGTATAATGTTAAATGATTATTTTCATGTAAATTTTATTTAATTCGATAGAGAGATAAAACAGTTGATCACTTAATTATAGTGGGCAACATAATGAAAACATTTGATAAATTTTCACTGAGGAGATCATGGAGAAAATGAAACTCAAGCATTCATTTGCATGTATCTATGTTAGACAAGATTGTGTTCCTTGGTTATTTGTATGTGCACACAAACACGAGAATCCAAAATGTATTAGTTGTGGTTTTGGTACTTCTTAAACTAGCTATATGACAATTCATCATGCAATTTTTTTTCCTCCAACAACACGAAATTGCCTCATTTTTCCAGGATAAATACATGTACAAAATCAGTTAATTTCATTTCGTGAGGTTGTAATCCAACCAGATATTAACCAATGATTTTAACCTTTTCTGATTTCCAGGATAAACACATGCAGAACTGACTTGTCAGAACACATGCAGAACTGAGATGTCAGACTTGTTTGTGTTTTCCTGCAGAGTCTAATCCGAAACAGAATTATTGATGGTAGTTTGCCGTTCTACCTGTGATTGAACTGTTATAGCAGCCAGTTGACATTAATGCATATGCAGATGATGTGCTTCTTTCTTTGATACTCATCCATGAGGTTTAATGAAATGAGAAAACTTAAAAGAATATAAGAAAGCAGACTGCATTAATTTGTCTGATAAAAATTAAAATATATATATATTCTGGAAGTTTGCTGAAAGAAGTAGAGCATTTTATTTAATTTCCCTTGGTTCATTTCCTCATGAGTTTTGTGCCAACTTTCAGGCGTTCTTCATGTTGTCGACAGTTTTTGGAAGATTTGGCTGTTCCAGGGAAGGCATTTTGAAGCCCCATGGTTCTTTCATAAATGATAACGTTCTATTTTTTCTTTACCGGACCTCCAAGATGACAAACTGGCTAACTAGAATGCTGGATAACATCATCAATGTAGCTGGAGCACCGTACCTGAATGATGTAGACCTGGTTTCCTCCAACTTTGGATAGATCTTCGTGTTGAAAATTAAGTCGTGATTTATCTGTGGTGAGGAACTGGGACACTTAGTGTTAGCCATTGGGTTTTTACTGATTTCCATAACACCAATAGCTTTGATTCGCTGCTTGATTTTGTTGCTGGAATCATTTCTTCAAAGGGATTAAAGATGGTGATGCATTTGAAGGGGTTTAACAGCAGGTTGCAGCCAAGGAGATCGCTCGGTATCATTTGCAAGCTACAAAAATTCACACTTACGTCTCAAAATATTAACTGGAGGCCTGCCAATGCACCATGGCCAGTTTGGATCCACAGAAAGCTAATGGAAACCATTTTCAAGAATATGTAATCAACACCCTTGTTCCATCAATCCACGCCATCTCTCCCTGTCCAAACCATGCCACATAAAAGTCAAGGATCTAAGTTCACCAAAGCAACTGGTGAGTGAGTGTTTTTGTCTTACAATTATTTTTTTTAAAATTATTTTTGTTTAAAAAATATTAAATTGGTTTTTTAGGTCTTCATGATATTAAAAAAAATTTAAAAATATTATTTTAATATATTTTTAAATATCTTCCAATTTCCTCTTTCACAGTCCCTTATCTATTCTTTTCATATAAAAAAAACAAATAAAAAAAAACTAACAATGTTTTTTTTTGACAAGCGGTAATCTAAGCCAATGTTTTAAATGGTGTTATGGTAAATTTTGAATTTTTTGTTTAAAATTAATTATTTTTATGTTTTTGAATTAATTTTATGGTATCAAAAATAATTTTTTTTAAAAAAATATGTTATTTTAATATATTTTTAAATAAAAAATATGTTATTTTAATATATTTTTAAATAAAAAATATTTAAAAAATAAAATTAAAAATTATTTGGACAATAGTCCAATGTTTATACTTGACATGAAACTTCAATAATAAATAAAATATATTTATTAATTATATTTTATAAAAAATAATTAAAAATATTTTAAAAAACAATTGTTATTACAGCTGAAGTTAAAAATTATTTGGACAATAGTTAAATGCATATACTTGACAAGAAACTTCAATAATAAATAAAATATTTTTATCAATTATACTCTATGAAAAATGATTATCTTCACTTAATAAAAAATAATTATCTTCACTTAAACAGGATACATGACTATCCATCAAGTCACACGTGTCCACTTACATGATTCCTCTGTTCATCAAGGGGAAATAAATAGTAAAACAATCAGGCGGTCTAGGCCTTTGCATTTGCTCCATGATCATCTATTACATTACCTTGATCTTCTGTTGTTTGGCTGGAAACAAAAAAAAAAAAATGAAAGAAAGAAAGAACAGTTTGAGATGTGGAAAATCTCTCATTTGATTTACATAAAGCATTGAGAAGTTACTCTTTATAATGTTTATATAACTAGATTTAAATTAATGAAAAATCCTGATTTATTTTAAATAATATCAAGTTAATCCAGATTAATTTATTTAATTTAAAATTTATATTTAATCTAGTCTTATATAATTATGTTATTACCACTTATGCAGAGTCTTGATAAGTGGAGGCAACACGGTGTAGACACCAGCAACATCCACCCCCACCACCAGCAGCCCCCATCGGCACTACCATTACCACCATTGTTCCAAATGTAAATCTTTGGCTGTCAATTTTATGTTATTTAATTTCCATGTTTTTAAATTTATTAATGGCTTAATCCTTTTCTGTGTTTTTGAATTCGTTTGTAATTTAATTCTTTTCGTCGATTTCATATTATTTTATAGATGAAGACTGTATTTATAATTAATTAAACTACATTAATAATAAAATGAAATAAATTAAGCTCACCATGATTTTCAAGTTTTCACACGGTACATGTTAGCTGTTGTCACTTGTTGGGGGTGCTCGGCGGTTCTTGCAAATTATTTTTTTAAAATAAATTTTATTTTAAATATTTTTTTATATTTTTAAATTATTTTGATATATTAATATTAAAAATAAATTTAAAAAAAAGATCTATTTTAAAAAATATTATTTTAAAATATTTTTAAATAAATAATATTTTAAAAAACACTTTTACCATTGTTCTAATAACTTCTTAGTTAATAAACCACACAACACATGTAAAAAAATTATTTAAAAAATTAATTTTTATATGATATTTATATTATTTGATTTGATTTAATTTATTAAAATTAGATAATGTAATTATTATATATAATAATAAATTAAAAAATCTAAAAAATAAATATTATAAGTGAAGTGGCAAATTAAAAATTTTAAAATCTTGTTAACTCAACCCAACTTTAAAATCTAAAAAATAAATATTATAAGTGAATTGACAAATTAACCTTGTTAACTCAACCCAACTTATATATATCATTATTTATTACAATCAAATTAAAATTAATTTAGTTAATGTATCAAGTTCAAAAATCTTGCTATATCTTATAAAATATTTTGGATTAATTTATTAAGATTAAATTTTAATTTAAATCAAGTCAATTACAAGAAAATTAACATATAAATTTAACTAATAAAAAAATTTAGTTTAATTTGATATATTTAATTTTCTAAAATCTAAAAAAAATTAAATGAAAAATTACATAAATTAAATTTATAAAATATTAAATATTAAAAATTGAATAGGATATAATTATATGATAAAATAGCCATCAGATTTTTCCAATTTATTAGCCCAAAGTACCTTCAATTTCTTAACCTAAAATTTCCCAATTGATTTTGTCTAATTAAATGAACCCTAGAATTCTAGGGTTTTCAATTTCCTCTCATGCAATCCAAATCAAATCAAATTGAGATTAAATTATGGTGAAACGTAATAGCACCAATGAAGAGCCCGACACAGCTCCGGAGCCAGATCGCTGGTATGACATAAAATTAGGTTCTTCTTTTCAAGACCACCATAACCACTCCTCTCCAAAGTTCTGTACTTTACGGTGTAAGCATGTTCTTACCGTTAAATCCGACTTTAAATTTTCAGCGTTCTGTTTTGTTTCAGAAAAAAATCAGTGAAGTAGTGACAAAATTGTTCTTTTTGGTTTTTAATGACGTTGTTTTGGAATTATGATAGCTTATTTGAATTTCCAGTCTTCAGTTTTGTGTTTTCCTTTTAGAATCTTGCATGATTAGTTGGTGGTCTAATGGAGGGATTGGTAATTAAGTTTGTTTCTTTTCAGCTTTGCTTGCTTGAGTGTAACGAGTACAGAGGTAACAGAGGAAAAATGTAAAAGATGTAGGATTTACTATCATTGGTTAAGATGATTGGGAAAAAATCTAAGAAGGGATTTATCTTGGTGTTTTAAATGTGGGATCGCATAAGGCTTCCATTTATTTACTTTTAGAAAGGGTAGTTGTTTTAGTGGAGGGGAATAATTTATTTATTTATTTTATTTTTGTATTTCTTAGATGAATTTAAACCAGCTTCAATTGATAAGAGTCAACCAGGATTGCTCCATAAGAGCAGGGATAACAGGGTAAGTGTAGAATATCACAACAACCAACAGGGAAAACCCAACGTAATGTTTGAGGGTGTAAGTGAGGATTACAAGGAAAATGATGCTGTCTTGTTCTTTGATGGGGATACCTTTCACTTGGAGCAGTTGCATCATGCAGTGAAGCGGTTGAGACATGTCCGGCTCCCTGGTGAGTCTGCAGCTGCAGCTGCAACAGTTGCGTTGGTTGCATCAGCATTTGAAACTCGTTCTCCACCTGTTGGTAAAGCAGCGAATTCAGAGTCTCTGGACAAAGGAATGGTTCATCAAACACCAGTAAGTGTGCATTGATTTCACATTTCTTTTGTTTTTTCTTGAAACTGTTTCTAGAATAAAAATATATAAACAGGAAGAGAAGGGAGAAAAATCTTGAATTGACACTTCTTTTTTCCATTATGTCCTCTAGATTTTCATTTGAAGTTTATTCCTTTTGCAGCCAAATCTAGATAAATCTGAGAAGCTCTCTTCCCTCTGCTGCTTCCCAGATAACATTTTATGTAGTTGGCACAATTTCTAGAGATGAAAGTATTCATAATTTCTGAGTCATTTTCAAATCACGAATGAATGAAGATATTGCTGAAGTTTGCTGTAAACTCTAAAAAAATGGTATGCTGAAATATGTGTCATTGGATGGCATCTGCTTTAGGTATTCTTTTATTTGTTTCAAAATGAATCCAATTTCAGTAACAGAAATGGAAGCATTCTTGAACAAAAGGATTGTGATTTTACTTTCTCAATTTTTGTTCACAAACTGCATTTTTTCATCAACTTTGCTTGTTTCTGAATGAACTCTATGGTGTATTTGAATATCTAGAATGTTTTATGATCGGTGGCTGATTGAACAGGGGAAACAAACATGTTATTTATGTTTGGTTTTGGAATTAATTTTTTCGGTAGAAACTTTATTTGGACTTTATTTTGATGTGTATATATTTCTTGTGCTTAATATAATTGTGTGCAGGTTCAGATGGAACAGATTGGCACTGGTGTCTCAGAAAGCTTAGGTATACTTCTTTTCTATAGTAACTGTTGATGGATATACTGGTTGATATTAGTTGTTCTTTAGACCTATAAGCTTGACAAGATGATGGATGTTGTTTGTACTGAAGGTCTTTACTAGTAGTTTATCCCCATTTGTTACAACCTTGCCTCGTATGTTTACCACTGCTGTATCCCATCCTTCCTTGGGTTGATGGATTGGCTCAGCTTTCTCTTTGCCTGGTGCAGAACTTGAGGATGAGAAGAGCATGGAGCATCTATTATTTCCTCCTAACCTATCCACCTCATCACCAGACCCCAAGAATGAATCCGAGGAACAGGTGGACATAGTCAATGATGATGATGATGGCTGTGAAACTGCTAACAAGGACAAAGCTTCAGAGAAGGGATTGCCACGCACTGTTCTTAACATTGATATTAACTTGCCACATCAAGCAGAAACAGATGATGAGATTGCTGATGTAGATATCAGTGATGATGACATTGACAAAGGCCCTAATGCTGCAGAAGCCCTTAAAGCCCTGAATGCAGTTGACAAAGGTCCTAATGCTGCCGAAGCCCTTAAAGCCCTGAATGCAGAAGGAATGAAGGGACAAAATTCAAGCTCAAGCGGAAGCAGTGGAAGTGACAGTAGTGGAAGTGAGAGTGGGAGCAGTGGCAGTGATAGCGAAAGCAGTGGTGGTGACTCAGTCTTCTCTATCTGATGGTTGAAGTCATGCTTATTACTCGGAGATCGAGATCACATAATGTGGTTGTCAGGATGGCTGATTCAGTTCAGCATTCAAACCACGGCAAATGTGAAACTTGATGAAATTTTCTCCCACAGCTGATGTAGATGGAATCTCGAGCCAAAATGCTGCATTTGAGAAACTTAGCATTTAGGTTTCCTGTACTCTTTCTCTCCTGTAGTATAGTTAGATCAGCACCTCTTCTGTAGTTTAGTTACATCAGCATGGTTCTTGTGAATTTGAAAAGGAATGTAGGTGTATATGGTAGTGCCAATTTTCAGGGTATTTGTTCATGCCAATTTGCTTGCAATCCACGTAGACAGTGCTATCAATTGAAACGAGTAACCATCGGATCATAGCTTTTAGTAGCACAATTGCCCTGCAAACTACCGAGTGACAGTGGGCATGCGCATGCCTCAGAAAAACAGGCATCCATAACCGTGATGGTAAACCCACGACGGTTTTCAGGGGACTAGAGATTTTCCACTGGAGAGTTTGCCTCATGGACAGTAGAAAAATTCTGAATATTCGTTTGAAATGGTAGCCTCAAGGATTTCGAATTGTCAGGTTTCGGGAATCCACATGGTGAATATACTAATTCAAGCGAAACAAGTTAATTCGATGAAAATTCGTTTAATTATAACCAATAAGACAAGTCAAAAACAATCGTAATCTTTCACTAGTTTTATCCTGGATTAAATGCACATTTATATTTATAAAAACCACATTTGAAGGAAATCAACACTATTCGAAGTAAATGTACAAATAATAGAAAACATGTGGCCTTTCCGTTTTTCAAAATTTATACTTACTAATCCATAATCTACTTTCACAACATTACATAGCACAGCTGCTTTGACAGGTCAACAAATCCAAACGTGTCTCGAATCTTATACCGGACTTGGTGTTTCCTTTTCCTGGTCCATGCCTCTATCCCCATCACTTCCTCCAACATATCCATTTTGTAGCATTTTATGCTCTGAAGGCAAATTATTCTTAGCTTTCTTGCTCCCTTCAATTTTCCAAAGATCCCACACCCGAGTTTTTGGTGGAGGTGAAGCATCTGTAAGCGGTGCAACTAGTCCTGGCTTACCATCATCAATAACTTCATCTACCAACCCATATTCTTTAGCTTCCCAAGCATTCATGAAATTGTCACGATCAGTGTCAACTTCAACCTGCACACAACAATGAATGAGGGAGGAAAGAAAAGAAACAGCAGGGAAGATCAAACCAAACTACAGGAACATTGGATGGTGAGTGATAAAAGGAAATATCATTTGATATCTAACCTGCTCTAGAGGCTTCCCTGTTATTCTTGATAATATCTTGTTCAGCTTAATCTTGTGGTAACTCATTTCTCTTATCCGGATGCTCATTTCTGATGCCTGAAATCACATGCAAGTGCTCAGAAAAACATGTCAAGCAGTTTTGAAAACTATCATTTTGCCAGTCAGTATTTTCAAGAGTATCATACAACTAGAGTGACCCTAAACATCTTATAGTAATTATTGTCTTGCAGTATTTTACGAACTAAGTTACACCCTTTTTAAAACCAAATTGACCAGAAAAGATAGCTAAATTCAAGTGTTGATAAAACTTTAGATCAAATCTAAAGAAGTGTAGCTTCAACCGAAGTTATGATCAATGGAGAAAATCTGTTCTTGATCCACTCAAAACCTAGAGCTATCTGCAGCTTCAACCAAAATTATGATCTCAACATCATCCTCCTTTCCTTTCCAGGAACAGGAAATAGAGCATAAATTAAACCTCCACTAGTCTTGAGGCTTTGTTTGTTTTTGCAGCCAACTGAAGGGTTGGCCGCAAAAACAACCGGGCTCTTAATTTAATCACATACCCACCATCCAAAGTGTAAATCTTTTAGGGAAAAAAATATCACCCAACCAAACTCCAGAATGGGCACAAAGAAGGAAGTGCAGAACCTCAGAACAATATAGTAAAAGGTGATCCAGTGACTTTGTCACCTTGTTAGGCAATTTAATACTCTTCTATGGAACAGGTTTTAAAGTTCTACTAATCAGATGGTCTGATGCTACAAATTACTTTAAGTGCTAATTATGAGAATCACTTTCTTCTAGAAGTCACCTCTTAGAGAATCTCCAGTTACATATCAAAAAGTTGTTGGATTGGAAGGTGAGCACTTGTAACATTATCCCTTACTGAATTTCAAGCTGGAAATTACATCGAACTCATAGATTTCACCCATTCAACGTTCCTAGTGCAAGGGTTTTTCAATATATATGCACAATAAAATAGGCAGAATATGAAAACATAAGTACAAGGGGACTAAAGACTTACTTTGCCTCCAGCAGTTCCAAGTGGCTGATGAATCATCACCCTCCCATTGGGCATGCAAAATCTCTTGCCTTTGGAACCAGCAGAAAGAAGAAATGCTCCCATGGATGCAGCAAGCCCAAGGCAAATAGTTGAAACATCAGCCTTGCACAACTTCATCGCGTCATAAATTCCCAGTCCTTAATGAAGCAATGCGTGAAGGGAAAGATAAAAGGAATAAGAGTATAACCAGGAGCTTTATAGACCCAAATAAAACGCACAATGTCATACCGTAAAGATTCAAACCTTTAATTCTACCCAACCATTTACAGAATGCCATAAAATTCTTTTAGTTTAGATCAAAGAATGACATTATTTAATTAAGATACAGAAAATGAACCATGACAATGGGAGACTAACTCATCCTCCTGGGGAAAAGAATATGACAAGAAAAATGTAACAATAGGGCTCTCAAAACCCATTGAACATCAGCTGGTAAAACAAAACAAAAAATCACCCAGAGGATGTGCTCTAGAAAGAAGCCAGATCTCAATGCAATTGCATCAATACAGTTTGATACTTAAAGATTGTTAAATTGAGCTCCAACCACATATTCACCCTCCCAAATCAGATGAAGTGTAGACATAACATTTCCTTCACGATATTCAGGAGATGATCCAAGATACACCAATAATAACAAAGAGTTTCCACCACATATTCGAAATCATTGAATTAGAATGCATAGTTACAGAATTAGTCACAAATGGTATAACATAATCCTAAGCTAACAAGAATTGGGTATGTTTAATTGGTTGCAACTTGGATGACATATCAGACTCCATGAAAAAAAAAGAAGCAGATTTCAGATACTAAAAATATCACAGGAATCATATGGAAAAACATTCATTTCCAAGATTAATTCTATTCTTGAAATCACCCTTTAATTGGTCTGATACAGTCCAGTATAATTATCAGTAACAGATTACACAATGTTGATCTAGTAGCTCAAATTATTTTAGCAATCCTAAGGCCTTTACAAACAGCAATTTCTATGTAGGAACCATAAACTTCAAAGTATATGGAGATATATAAAGGGAAAATGAAAATAAAAAAGGATTGATGAAAAAGGAAATAGAGCACTGAAAAATCAAGCATATTATATAAACCTATCCACGTACCAGCAGTGACAGAACCCCCAGGAGAATTAATAAACAATTTGATGTCTTTTTTGGGGTCTTCAGCATCCAGAAATAATAGCTGACTGATAATAAAATCTGCTGCCACGTCATCCACCTGCCAAATAACAGTCAGAGTAAGTAAAATTAAACCAGCCTTTTGCCATTCTTAAGCATGTTTAAAAACCAGGAAAGCTGGAAATCCTCGATATATTGCTAGCATCTCTATCACTTGCACGCATAATAGCATCCAGATTTAAAACTACCACAATTCTAAAAAATGAAACCCGAAGGCCATAAATTTCACAATAAGGAACTAATATGACAATAATCAGCAAAACCCATCTCAGAATGCCAATGGTTAAGCCAGCAGACCAGAAAACACACACACACACACACACAATCGAAGATTTAATTACCATCCACTACATAGAGAAAGACCCATCTAAAACCTCTGTTCCAACATCATTACCAAAACAAATATGCCGCAATCAAACAATAGTAAGAAACTCACCTAACAAGTTCAGCAATTACTCCCCCAAAACCACATCATAATACATAGGTTCGGTGAAACACTACGTAGCAACATCAGAAAACCTCACTTCTAATATCTCTAACAAAACAAATACAGTGCTAATAAGTCATCCAAAACCTAACAACTACTCCCGCAAAAAAGAACTACACATACCAGGCTACAAAATCCTACAAATAATTCCAGCCTCCCCAACTTGTCAGATAAAAGGAAAAATTATATCAGCCTACAAAACTAAAGGGCCACCTCAAGATACTAGAGACCAATACTTTGATAACCAATATTATATATATATAACATCTACAAACCTTACAAAACAAAAGGAGAAAAAAACCACCTACAAAATCCATCAATTAGTCCCAAAACAAAAACCCAGCAACAAACTTCGTACAGAAACAAATTCTACACAACTTTTAACATCAATTCAAAAAAGAAAAGAAAAGAAAAATACTTGAGAGCCCAAAAAAATTATTCTTTGACGGAGAAGCATGTTGGTAGTATCCAATTCCTCAAATTTTGGCAAAGTAGGAGCTGAATTAGCAAAAGATGAGAACTTTTCAACATCCCAGTTGCTAGCCAAAGTCTGTCTTGCGGTATTAGCATCGAATGAACTCTTCGACGCCTTAACACAGATGGGTTTTCGTCTTTTACTGCAAACACTAATAGTAGTGCTGGTGTCACTGGTGATTGGTAGCAGAAGATGATTCTTGTTAATGAAACTGTTGCGATTGGAGAAACATAGAGGGCTGCTTGTGGATTGTGAGGCTGTGAGATATGCTAAACCTACCTCCATTTTTCCTTTCTATCTGCTTTGATTTGATATTATGGTCCTGTTTTTAAACATTTTGTCTAGTTTATGGATATGTTGTTTGAGGAAATTAGAGAGAGTTCGGTGACCAAAGTGGACCTTCTGCATAACTTTCTAGTCTGAAGTGTAAGCAATGGTAGATTCTGCTCGCTGGGTGTTGCAGTTCGTTGAACGGTGCCGTTTGGCCCCTCCTGTTTTTTTTAATCAAAATAAATTATAAATTTTAATTTAAAATAAATTAAATATTAAATAATAAAATTAAAAATAATTAATAAAAACTCAACGTTTAAGAATAAAAAAAGAAAATTGTGTTTGGGCGTTGTTTAGGTTTTTCTTTTCTTTTTTTAGGTTCGAACGTCCTGTATTTTATTTTATTTTATGAAAAAAATGAGAGGATTGTGATTTAAGGCAGATATATGGCCAAAATCATGGATAATTTGGCCCCTCTGCTGCTGTATCGTGGATGTAACTTGTAAAGGTCTAAGCCAAAGAAACATAGGTTAACTTGCTATGATAGATAACCTTGATGTGCTTGGTTTTTCTTCTTCTTGTCATGATCTGCTCCGATTACATGATGATTGTACTTTTTTTAACATGAATATTTTTCATGAATGAAAAGGTTTGGAGTCTCGTAACTTCACTACTTTCAAAAATTATTAAATACAAATAAAAATATTAATGAAAAAATATTTTTGATGAATTAAAATGATATTTACCAACAAAATATAATATTGTTATTTTTGTTAGCATTTACTAATAGAAATTTTTTATCAATAAATATCAAAGAAATTACAAATGAAAACCAAGGAATGAATAAAAAAAAAAAAGTAGGTATTTCCTTGTTATTTTCATTAGAAAATATGATGTATATTTCAAACTGAATTACAAATAAAATATAATCATCACTAATTTTTTTATTGAATTTATCAATAATATTTAATTTATAATCTATCAGACCCCTCTTTCCCTCTCTCATTTATCAATAATATTTAATTTATAATCTATTAGACCCCTCTTCCCCTCTCTCATTTCTTCTTTTTTTTTTCTTCTTTTTTTTTTAAAAAACAGCACCCCCTTTATGTTGTTACAAATCAAGCTTTCATCATCATAAATACAATCACTCCAACACTTAGTTTATCAGTGTCTCTTGTTTGGTTCAATTTGTTTTTGAAGATACACTACATCAAGTAAGTAAATTTATCAAAAAAAATTGTTATAACCCATTTTTTATATTAATTGTTTCACTTTTTTATATAGTATATGTAGTTTGTCTATGTGTTTTTTTATTTTATAGCTTTTTTTTATAGAAACTTGTTGTATGAATATATAATTTGTACATGCTAGGATTTATTTAAGATTTTAAAAAATTATATTTGTTTGTCATTTGATGAAATTGAGTTTGATTTTGTAACTTAAGTGTTTTATGATGAAATAAATAATGTGTATGCTTTGTATTTTGTCAATTTTGTTATTAAGTTGAGAATTTAAGTAAATTTGGAGAAATTTGAATGTTTTATGATGAAATAAATAATGTGTATGTTTCGTATTTTGTCAATTTTATTGTTAAGTCGAGAATTTAGGTAAATTTGGAGAAATTTGAATTTTTTTGAAGAAAATTGATAATCTTTAAAAGGTAATATTAAAATAGATTGACTAATTTTGAATCCAACAATGATAGCTAATTAACTAAGTACTAATAATTTGCTTAAATCACATTATTAATTAATACATGTTGGCATCAATATTCAATATGGATGTCATATAAGTAATAGATGATTGTTCTTGGATATATTAAGTTTCACTCAAAAGGATGAGCGAGAAATTTATTATTGTAATGAAGTTGATGGTTTTATTAATTACATATTATCTAATCTAAAAAAATATTAGTGGAGACAATATTAAATGTTCATGGTGTAAACATAAAAAGTTTATCAATCAAGACGTTGTTATGATGCATCTTTCATGGAAAAACACTCGTGTTTGTTTACGCATGAAGAATCCTATGTTCCTTATGAGACCAAGGTAGAAAGAATAGTTGAGTTAATTTTTAATTCTAGCAACTTGCATGAAGTTGTAGATGATAATAGTAATTTTTATAGGAGTATAGTTATGGATGCAATGAAGAAAAATTAGGGTTATGCAGGAGAATATTCAATTGTAAATAAAGAACCAAATGCATACACAATTAGTTTTTTGAACTTTTTAAAGATTCCAATAAACCATTATGGATGGATGTGTAAATCATATTAAATTATCAATCATCGCATAATTGTTCATTATTAAATCAAATCATGGGTTGAGTGAGACCGATTACTATATAATTGTCAAATGGACAATAAACATTTACCTGAAAGGAATAGGTTGAAAGAAAACTTTTATACTACTAATTCTATTATGAAACTCCTTGGCCAAGTATACTACAAAATTGATATATGTCTAAACTTCTACATGTTATAAGACACAAAGGGAAGCGAAATGGAATGTCAAAAGCATAGTGAAAGCACCTACCTTATGTTTAATTATCTTAGTTTTAGTGAAAAACCAAAAAGAGAGTTTTGCCTGCTTTAGTGGCAATTTTGTGATACTATCATGAAAATATAGATTTAACTGAGTATAAAACATATGGGTATGCTCGGTATAAATATAGAACTAGCAAGGGGAAGGACTCTTGTTGCACATAGAAAACTGAGATGCTTTCCAATTATTTCTGGATTGCAAAAGTTATTCATGTCTCCTAACACTGCTGAGCACTAGAGTTATGGTGCAACATTCCAATGGTGAAGCCTAAAAGCAATTTAATAGGGTGCATCCTTAGTTTTCAATGGAATCATAGAACATACGTGTTGGGTTATGTACAAATAAATTCAATAAATTCAAGTCATTTGCTACACTTTATTCTTGTTGGCTGATGATACTTATAATTTATAACTTGTCACTAGAGGTATGTATGAGGTCGGAATTTATATCCTTATCTATGGTCATATCTGGTCCTAATAGTCTTGGTGGGAATATAGATATTTTTTTTTTTTGCCATTAATTGATGAGTTGAATAAGTTGTGGTTATTCAGGATTGGTTTCTTAAGGAAACAAATTTTTCAGATAAAAGCATCTTTGATGTGGACTATCAATGATTTTCTTGCATATGATATAATTTTTAGTTGGAGCACGTATGGAAAATTAGTATGTCTATACTGTATGAAAAATTACAAGAATTTCATCTTAATAAATAATGGTAAAACATCTCTTTTTTTATCATCACTAAAGGTTCTTGTCAACCGATCACAAGTACAAAAAGAATATAAAGGACTTTTTTGAAGGTAGAATTAAAAAGGATATTACATCGCTAATACTATCAAGCGAAGAATTGTATAACGTGGTCTTACAATATGATGATATTGTCTTTGATTTTCAAGCTAATAATTAGAAATTTCTTGGTTTTGGTATGATTTATAATTGGGTAAAAAATGGTATTTTTTAGGAGCTTTCTTATTGAAAAACTAGTCTCTTCCACCATAATATGGATGTTATGCATAAAAAACAATATTTGAAAATATTTTAAGCACGATAATGAACATGGAAAGAAAGATAAAGGATAATATAAAAGTTAAAATAGACATACATTTGTTTTATTACTATAGAAATATAAAGTAGATTTATGATAGATTACAAAACTCAAACACAACTTCAAATATGTCAATGATTTGTTTTAGGATCTTTCTTCTTCTTCTTCTTAATTTTTTCATGTTAATATGCCAAACACTTATTTTTCACCTTTATTTCTTTTTAAACAAATAAATAATAATAATATGATAGATATTTAGATTTAAAATTCAATAAATAAGATATATAACTTTTAAAAATTTTAGCCTTTAGATAAATAAATAAGTAAATAAAGATATTAATAAATCTAACATTGAAACTCTTGCCATCCTTAAAAGAGACAAGAAAGATAATAAAAATCTCATTTAGTATGAGTTAAATTGTCAAAAGGTAAGATGTTTAAAAATATAATTATAATTATTTTTTAAAGTGTTTTTATTTGAAAATATATTAAAATAATAATTTTTTATATATTTTAAAAGTTATTTTTAACATCAACACATGAAAATAATATAAAAATTTTATTTAAAATAAAAAAATAAAAAATTTTAATTTTTTCAAAAATATTTTTAAACATCAAAACAAACCAGCCAAACGGTTTCATCTTGTTTTCCCGCTTCTCCTCAGAAAACCCAAAATCAAGAAAATAGTGGAAGTGAAGAAGAGAAAACTTCATTTCTGGACATTATTCATGCTTTGATGGCTAAAAGAAACAAGGTGTCCAGTTCAAAACTACAAAGTGAAGTTCTTATAAAACTTGCAAGAAGAGATAAAGGCTTTATTTCAGTTATCTTGGACTCTGAAGTTCTTGATTGTCTTATCTGTTTTAAACCCTTCATCATTCCTATCTTTCAGGTTTTTTTTTTTTGTTCTTACATTATTGTTGATGTTTTGTTATTTATTTTCTTTCTGTTTCTTGTTTGCTTTTTAGTGCTTGTTTTTTAAATAAGAAATCAAGGGCGGTTATATGTGAGCTATTTGTAATTTATTAACATGGTTTCTTGAATTTTTACCTGGGATTTTGCCATTTTTGGCTTTAGCTTTGAGAAGAGTTGAGGCTTAGGTTGGTTTCTTTAAGTTGCATTTTTAGGCTATTATTGATAATTATGCTTTTATTTTTGTCTTAAATGAAGATTGGTATTGTGGCATGTAATTTGTGTAAATTGAATCTTGTTGAGAGAAATTAACACCGACCCAAAAAAATTGTCAGACATGTTTTCTATAATGTGCTCCTACTTTGTTATTTTGATTTGAAGAAAACGCTATTCTTGCAACTTGTGTAGAAATTTATGATAGATACTTTAGAAACACAAGTTCTACAGTGATTATTTACATGAAAAATGGATTGAGTGGTTTATGTTCTATAGTTATGGAACAGAGCTGGAGGTAAAGAAGTTAGTGAGGATTCCTTCGCTTAATGCTATTCTTCAAAGAAAGTTTGAACTTAGATTGTTACCAGTCATTGTAATGTTCTTGAAAGGAAGTTTGAACTTAGATTGTTACCCGTCATTGTAATGTTCTTGAAGGGAAGTTGGAGATAGATTCCATTAGAAGCAGACTTATTTATAGAGATGCTGTCTAAGGAATTATTAATTGATATACTGTAAAAATATAGATTATATGAAGGTTAATTGAGAAAGAGTAAAAAAAACTGAAAAGAAATTGTGCATGTGAAATACAAATTGAAAGTGGTGAAGAATGGATATTGTGAAATTACCATGGTTTGATTAGATATTCTTTGTGGAAATTGGTTATAGCCTAGATTTTCAACTAATGTCGAATGTTGCTGCTTGTGACAAGTTTGTAATTTTTGGCCTAGCTTGCCATCAAATCTGAAACCTAAATAGATGAAATCAGTTCATAATTTGCTTTATGGGATAATAGAGAGTGGTTTTGACGTTGACATGACCAAAAGATTGATGTCTTCTCTCAAGTGCAGGAGTGTCGAAGTAATAAATAACCCGGCAAGACCAGGGTCGAATCACAAGGAGGTTAATCGTATAAATTACAAATAACAATAATATAATAATAACAACAACAACAACAATAATAGTAGTAGTAATAGAAGAAGAAAAAAAGTTAATGAAAACTTTGAGATGAAAGATTAACGTAAGGATTAAA